CCGGCCGTCCGGCAATAAATGGCTCAATGGATTATTACTTAACATTATCGCTACGCATGAATGGCTCGTGGTGCGCGCTACGTGCGCGACCACGCTCCTCGGCCAACTTAATGAATAATCATGAAAATTATTGGACAATATGAGCTGACTGAACATGATATGACATAAATTAACTAAATACATGACAATAGCTCGAGAGATTTCGAATCAAAACATGACATGCTCTTCATGGTCACACGCACGGCCGAACATAAATAAACTATATCATGATCAAGACTTACTCAAAACTTGATTAATCATGACTTTAGTAACAACAAGAATAGATAAACTGAGGTTACCTCTCGAACGCTCGGCTAGAACTACTCGGAGCTCAAGCCTCCGTGTGTGCGGCGTTTCTCGCGTGTGTGTGTCGTGCGCCTCGCGTTAGTTCTCCGCGTGCGTATGTGCGTGTGATATCATATGCTTTCCCTCACTCCCCTCTATGGACTATGCTTAATATATATACTAGGAAGAAGAAAATGTGGCACCAAATTCATCCCAACATCTCCTAATATATACCAAAGCCGAGAGTGAAGACGTGAGGCAATGACTTAGCCAATGATATTTCTCCATTTGCCAAACTTAGGCTCAATTATTCTAAAACATAGCTTAGTCATCATTTGAATGACTTAGTCATGAGCTTAGGTGATAAGAAAATGACACCACCTGCTTAGGAATTAATAAATTTCCCATGATAATGCCACTTAACCTCACGGCACTTAGGATAGAGTTTAGCATAATTAAACCTTAATGAAGCTTAACTTACATGCTCAAATAATTGGACCAATTTAGAAAATGTCCCATGAATTGCATAAGCATAAAAATAATGCTCACGGTATTCATATGAAACATGGAACATGTTTTGGATTTCTAATACCTTAAACATGCTTATGGAACTTAATTTGATTAAGCATTGATTAACATGCTTAACTATTTGATAATACATGATTGTTTTGATTAACTCAGTATTTAGATACCAAAATTAACCCGAACGTAAATATGACTGCGAAAATAATTTCGAAGAACCTTGACTGGAATAATTAGTTCCGAACGATAATAATCGACAAAAATAATTATTTCGGAACTAAACGCGTAAATTATATTAATAACATGACGGGCGTGATATTCGCAAATTAATTTGAATATTCATGACTTGGACGATTAATCCGAATATTGACATTTCGAATAATTCGTCAACTTAACTTATTAATTCCGAAATCATTAATTAATAAATGAATCGGAACTAAATCTGGAAACTTATTCGATTACTGAAATAATTAAACCGAATAATTTATCGACTAATAGTCGAACTTGGAATATAACTTGCTGATTAATTTGAGCTTGAACATGAACATGATTATTTATTAATAAAGGCTAGCTTAAAACTAAAAACTAGTATTTTCCTTTATTAATAAAATACGGGGTGTTACACAAATCCCACGTATGGTTTGGTTGGGGTTGAAGCTCGTCCACATCACTTCAGCAAACATGATTTGACGGGTCCCGCTAATAACCGAATATAAAATAAATAACTCGGTTGGAGCCACTTCATAATCGGACTCTGACGAGGTTCGGTGAACCCTATTTATCTTAAGCACGGCTCGGAATGTGTTAAGTTCTGCAAATTCTTAATAAGTTTGCATACTGACTTACACTATTAGCCGAATTCATTAAAAAAAAGATCAATGTGGAACTCGGAATTCATTTTTATAAATAGCCCACAACCCGGCTAAAAATATGAATAAATCCGAGTTAGAAGCGAGTCTTATATTTGCACCGAGTTCATTACACTTGGTCTGAAAATTGCTGACTTTGTACAGCAAAATAAATAGAATTGAAATCACGCATACATTCTTAATTTATATTATAAAGTCGAGAAATTCCAAAATTACATATTTCCTACTAAGGATGTCAACATTCTGACACCCCGACTACTTACTTCAAATATAAAAAATTAAAGCATAAAAACCCAAGTTTCCCAAAGCTTCATAAAGCATCGTCTTTATCACCTCCACCTCGGCCAACGCCACTACCCTCTCCGACTTCCATCTCGGTGGACAGCTGTTTCTGAAGCCGCTCCAGAACAGCTATGTCTTTTTCTTTAGCCGCAGCGTCGATGGTCGCATCCGACACTGGAACGAGCTCACTACGAGGATCCTGCACTTCGTCAAATTTTCCCTCTGTCGGAGGAACAACTTTAATCACTTCGACCTCTCTGTCTGTCGACTTGGCCTTCTCCTTGATATAAGCCTTAACAGTATTCCGAATTTGGTCAGGAGTCATATCGTCGAAGTTTTGTTCAACCTCCACATCGGGAAGGGTCGTGACATAGATGTCTGAAAGCTCTTTTCTCTTCTCCTTTTCTCCCTCAAGAATCATATTGACATATGCACAACGGAGAAGAGCTGCCCTTTCTTCGGTGAGTGGAGGCAAGTCTGGGTTCGCTGCCATCTCTTCAGCCCGGCAGAGCATCCACTCACAGAATTCCCGCTCATCCTCGTCCGCCTCCACGTGCATTGCTTTGATCTCCATATCAAAGCCATATTTTTTAAGCTTGTGGAACAAGAAGAAGCGCAGTTCATCAATATCATAATAATCGGCGTTATATCGTTCAAAAACCCACCGAAGTGTTAGGCAAGTGTTCATTTCCAGTTCCAAGTCAGGACCGGCCTCTCCCTCCACACCGGTTTCAGCAGCAACCTCGATTTCCTCTTCGTCAACTCGGTCTACACCCACCGGAACCGAGTCCTTATCGGCTTGAAAGCCGATCTCATACATAGTCTCACCATACACGGACTTTTCTTTCTCCAGCTTGGCCATCTCCGATTGATGAGCATCCCGCTAACGAGACACAAGTTCACGAACATCGATACACTCTTTACGGGTTCCCTCATGCTCATCTTTTTCTTTTAGCAGTTTCTCCTCTGCTTCTTCTGTCTTGACTTTCAACATCTTGGAGTGTTGTTCAGCAAAGGCAAGGCGCTCCCTAAGTTCTGCCACCTCGCTTGAAAAGCATTCTTCTCCTTGGACAACGCCGAGATCTCTGACTGTACCACCTCAAGTTGTGAAGTTTGTTCGGAAATTTTTTCCTTCAAGCCGGTCTCAACCTTAGTCGCCTCATCCTTCAAAGATGCGATTATCGCGTCTTGCTCAGCTACAACATGCTTTTTTCCCTCCAGCTGCGCAGCAATCTGACTATGGTCATCCTCGGCTGCGACCAGACTCACTAAAGCTCAGCCCATACAAGCCTTAGCGTAACTCAACTTGTCCACACTTGACAAGGAGGATACTCCCACTTCGGATTTCGGATCCGACACCATCAGAGGCAAGCGAGCGGCATTTTTCGCATTCTCGGGCATATCTATACGGGATGACATGTGCGGGGTCTTAACCGACTTAAAAGTAGTGAACCACTCCTCCACTACGCCTTCTGGCACCTTCACATTTGCAGCCCTCTCCTCGTCGATCGATAAAAATGACTTCTCGAACAAAGGAGATTCATCAGTGCTTTTTTCTGAAGCTCGACGACCGGAGTCATGCTTCTTTTTCGATCTCTTCTCAGCTCCGGAGGAAGCTCCCCATCAGACATCTTCACTAGTTTTCGTTTCTTTCTCTTCTCTGGTTGCGTAGTCTCTATTGACTTCGGAGGGGACGACTGTTTCTCCAACTCTTCTCTCGGCACCTCGGAGTGCGTTTGCTCAGCCACAGCCAACTCAGTTCCCATCAAATTTAGCTCGGGCT